GGCCGCGGACGGCGCTCGGGCCCGTGCACGGAGCCGCGCAGGCGCATCGTGGCTCAGGGCACGCGCGCTCCCGCCGCGCCCCCTGGCGGCCACCACAGGCCAAGCAGCGCCCACATAGGGGATCCGCACTAAGTAATCTGGAGTTTTTAAAAGCACAAATCAAAACACTTTTTTTTTTTTTTTAAGAACATTATCTATTTGGGAAAGGATAGGGAGAATGGTTGCACACTTAAACAGTGTGATCAATGTTAGTGAAACTTACATGTAGAAACTACACATAGGGGCTGGGATGGAGGTGGTTTACAATAAAGTACAATGAAACGAAAAAGAACATCGTTAGGAAAGTGAACAGACAACCTGCAGAATGGGAGAAAATATTTGCAGGTCGCATTTGATAAAAGACTTGTATCCAGAATATATAAAGATTTCTTGCAACTCAGTAATAAAACAACATCCCAATTTAGAAATGACAATGTTTCTACAGACATCGCTCCAAAGAAGATACACAGATGGCCAATAAACACACGAAGAGTGTTTAACATCATTAGTCATCCAAACCAAACCGAACTCACTGCCGTCGGGTAGATTGGGACTCATAGGGACCCCTCCTTGGGTTTCCCAGGCGGTATCACTATGGAAGTAGGTTGCCCAACCTTTCTTCCAAGGAGTGGCTGGTGGGTTTGAACCATTATCCTTCTGGTTAGCAGTCAAATGTCTCAGGCACTATGCCACCAGAGCTCCCCATTAGCCATCAGGGAAATGCAAATTAAAACCACAATGAGACCACACCACACCTACTAGGATGGCTAGAATAAGGAAACAAAAACAAAACCAAGAAACCGACAAGTGCTTGGGAGATGTGGAGAAACTGGAATGGTAGTACATTGCTGATGAGATGTAAAATGGTTCAGCTGCTGTGGAAACAGTGTGGTAGTCCCTCAAATGGTCAAGCAGAAGGGCTATTGGGCCTAGCCATTCCAATTGTAGGTATTTACAGAAGAGAAAAGAAAATCTATGTCCACACAAAAATGTGTCCAAGAATGTTCATAACAGGACATTCACTGTAACCGAAACGAAAAACTTCCCAAATGTCCATTAACAGATGAATGGATAACACAATGTGATCCATCCATGCCAGGGAATATTGTTCAGCCATGAAAAAGAATGAAACTGTAATACATACTATAACATAGATGAATCTAAAAAACGCACTGAGTAAAAGAAACAAGTCACAAAAGAATCCATACTGCATGATCCGGTTTATGTGAGATTGCTAGAAAGGAAATTCTTTTTTTTTTTAAATTTTTTT